TAGATAAAAAAACAAAACCCATCAATATGCTGTCTACAAGAAACTCATTTTAGACCCAAAGTCACCTCCAGATTTAAAGTGAGGGGGTGGAAAACAATTTACCATGCTAATGGACATCAAAAGAAAGCTGGGGTGGCAATCCTTATATCAGATAAATTAGATTTTAAGCCAAAGATTATAATAAGAGATAAGGAAGGACACTATATCATACTCAGAGGGTCTGTCCAACGAGATCTAACAATTGTAAATATCTATGCCCCTAACATGGGAGCAGCCAACTATATAAACCAATTAATAACTAGATCAAAGAAACACTTTGACAATAATACAATAATAGCAGGGAACTTTAATACCTTCCTCACTGAAATGGACAGATCATCTAAGCAAAAGATCAACAAGGAAATAAAGGCCTTAAATGACACACTGGACCAGATGGACATCATAGATATGTTCAGAACATTCCATCTGAAAGCAACAGAATACACATTCTTCTCTAGTGCACATTGAACATCCTCCAGAATAGATCACATCCTGGGTCACAAATCAGGTCTCAACCAGTACCAAAAGACTGGGATCATTCCCTGCATATTTTCAGACCAAAATGCTCTGAAGCTAGAACTCAATCACAAGAGGAAATTTGGAGAGAACTCAAATACATGGAGGCTAAAGAGCATCCTACTAAAGAATGAATGGGTCAACCAGGAAATTAAAGAAGAATTGAAAAAAATTCATGCAAACAAATGAAAATAAAAACACAACTGTTCGAAATCTGTAGGACACAGCAAAGGCAATTCTGAGAGGAAAATATATAGCAATACAACACTTTCTCAAGGAACAAGAAAGGTCTCAAGTACACAACCTAACCCTATACCTAAAGGAGCTGGAGAAAGAACAGCAAACAAAGCCTAAACCCAGCAGAAGAAGAGAAATAATAAAGATCAGAGCAGAAATCAATGAAATAGAAACCAAAAGAACAGTAGAACAAATCAACGAAAGTAGGAGCTGGTTCTTTGAAAGAATTAATAAGATTGATAAACCCCTGGCCAGAGTTATCAAAAGGAAAAGAGGAAGGACCCAAATTCATAAAATCATGAATGAAAGAGGAGAGATCTCAACCAACACCAAAGAAATACAAACGATTATAAGAACATATTATGAGCGACTATACACCAGCAAATTAGACAATCTGGAAGAAAAGGATGCATTCCTTGAGACATATAAACTAGTCTCTACTGCACTGAACTGAACCACAACTGAACCAGGAAGAAATAGAAAACCTGAAAAGACCTATAACCAGTAGGAGATTGAAGCAGTCATCAAAAAATCTCCCAAAAAACAAGAGCCTAGGGCCAGATGGCTTCCCAAGGAAATTCTACCAAACATTTAAAGAAGAATTAATTCCCATTCTCCTGAAATTGCTCCAAAAAATAGAAATGGAAGGAAAACTTCCAAACTCATTTTATGAGGCCAGCAATACCTTGATCCCAAAACCAAACAAAGACCCCATCAAAAAAGAGAATTACAGACCAATATCCTGGATGAATGCAAATGCAAAAATTCTCACCAAAATATTAACCAATGGAATCCAACAGTACATTAAAAGGATTATTCACCATGACCACATGGGATTTATTCCTGGGCTGCAAGGATGATTCAACATCTGCCAATCAATCAATGTGATACAACACATTAATAAAAGAAAGAACAAGAACCATATGATACTCTCAATAGATGCCGAAAAAGCTATTGACAAGGTACAGCATCCTTTCTTGATCAAAACTTCTCACAGTGTAGGCATAGAGGGTACATACCTCAATATCATCAAAGCCATCTACGAAAAACCCACAGCAAATATCATTCTCAATGGGGAGAAACTGAGAGCTTTTCTGCTAAGGTCAGGAACAAAGCAGGGATGTCCACTATCACCACTGCTATTCAACATAGTACTGGAAGTCCTCGCCTCAGCAATCAGACAACAAAAAGAAATAAAAGGCATCCAAATTGGCAAAGAGGAAGACAAACTCTCACTCTTTGCAGATGATAAGATACTTTATGCAGAAAACCCAAAAGACTCCACTCCAAAACTGCTAGAACTCATACAGGAATTCAGTAAAGTGTCAGGATATAGAAGAATGAGAAATTAAGGAGTCGATCCCATTTACAATTGCATCCCAAATCATAAGATACCTAGGAATATACATAACCAAAGAGGCAAAGAATCCATACTCAGAAAACTATAGAATACTCATGAAAGAAATTGAGGAAGACACAAAGAAATGGAAAAATGTTCTAGTCTCATGGATTGGAAGAACAAATATTGTGAAAATGTCTACGCTACCTAGAGCAACCCACACATTTAATGCAATCCCTATCAAAATACCATCAACTTTCTTCAAAGAAATGGAACAAATAATCCTAAAATTTATATGGAACCAGAGAAGACCCTGAATAGCCAGAGGAATGTTGAAAAAGAAAGCCAAAGTTGGTGGCATCATAATTCCAGCCTTTAAGCTCCTTTACAAAGCTGTCATCATCAAAACAGGATGGTACTGGCATAAAAACAGACACATAGATCAATAGAACAGAATAGAGAACCCAGAAATGGACCCTCAACTCTATGGTCAACTAATCTTCGACAAAACACGAAAGAACATCCAATGGAAAAAAGACAGTCTCTTCAATAATGGTGTTGGGGAAATTGGACAGCCACAGACAGAAGAATGAAACTGAACCATTTCCTTACACCACATGCAAAAATAGACTAAAAATGGATGAAAGACCTCAATGTGAGAAAGAAATCCATCAAAATCCTTGAGGAGAACACAGGCAGCAACCTCCTTGACTTCAGCCACAGCAACTTCTTCCTAGAAACATCACCAAAGGCAAGGGAAGCAAGGGCAAAAATGAACTATTGGGACTTCATCAAGATCAAAAGCTTTTGCACAGCCAAGGAAACAGTCAACAGTACCAAAAGACAACTGACAGAATGGGAGAAGATACTCGCAAATGACATATCAGATAAAGGGCTAGTATCCAAAATCTATAAAGAACTTATCAAACTCAACACCCAAAGAACAAATAATCCAATCAAGAAATGGGCAGAGGACATGACAGACATTTCTGCAAAGAAGACATCCAGATGGCCAACAATCACATGAAAGAGTGTTCCACATCACTCGGCATCAGAGAAATACAAATCAAAACCACAATGAAATACTACCTCACACCAGTCAGGAAGGCTATAATAAACAAGTCAGGAAATGACAGATGCTGGTGAGGATGCGAAGAAAGGGGAACACTCTTACCCTGTTGGTGGGAATGCAAGCTGGTGCAGCCACTCTGGAAAACAGCGTGGAAGTTCCTCAAAAGTTGAATATAGAGCTACCCTATGACCCAGCAATCACACTACGGGGTATTTACCCTAAAGATACAAATGTAGTGATCCGAAGGAGCACATGCTCCTGAATGTTTATAGAAGCAATGTCCACAATAGCCAAACTATGGAAAAAACCTAAATGTCCATCAACAGATGAATGGACAAAGAAGAGGTGGTATATATATACAATAGGATACTATGCAGTCATGAAAAGAAATGAATTCTTGCCATTTGCAACAATGTGGATGGAACTAGAGGGTATTGTGCTAAGTGAAAGAAGTCAATCAGAGAAAGACAATTATCATATGATCTCTCTGATATGAGGAATTTGAGAGGCAAAGTAGGGTCATGGGGGTAGTGAGGGAAAAAGTGAAACAAGATGGGATTCAGAGGGAGACTCAATCTCACAAAATAAACTGAGGGTTCCTGGGGAGTGGGGGGGTAGGGATAGGGTAGCTGGGTTATGGGCATTGTGGAGGGTGTGTGCTATGGTGAGTGCTATGAAATGGATAAGCCTGATGATTCATAGACCTCTACCCCTGAGGCAAATAATACATTATATGTTAATAAAAAATTAACTCAAAATGGATTAAAGACTTGAAATAGAAAACCTGAAACCATAAAACTCCTGGAAGAAAATAAAGGCAGTAATTAGCTCCTAGACATTGGTCTTGGCAATGATTTTTTGGATACAATACCAGGACAAAAATAAACAAGTAGGAGTACATCAAACTAAAAACTTCTGTACAGCAAAGGAAACCAACAACAAAATAAATGGGAGAAAATATTTATAAATTACATATGTAATAAGGGGTCAATATCCAAAATATATAAAGAACTCATACAACTCAGTAACAAGATAAAAAACAATTACATTAAAAAGTGGGCAGAGGGGGTGCCTGGGTGGCTCAGTGGGTTAAGTCTCTGCCTTCGGCTCAGGTCATGATCCCAGCGTCCTGGGATCAAGCCCCATATCGGGCTCCATACTCGGCAGAAGCCTGCTTCTCCCTCTCCCACTCCCCCTGCTTGTATTCCCTCTCTCGCTGTGTCTCTCTCTGTCAAATAAATAAATAAAATATTTTTAAAAATTTTAAAAAATAAAAAACGGGCAGAGAATTTGAAACGACATTTTTCAAAGGCCTACACGTGGCCTACTGGTACATGAAAATTTGCTAGGCATCACTAATTATCAGAGAAATGCAAACCAGTACCACAGTGAGATATCAACTCATACCTGTTAGAATGGCTATTACCAAAAAGGCAAGAAATAACAAGTGTAGGATATGGAGAGAAGGGAACTCTTGTACACTATTAGTGTGACTATAAATTAGTACAGTTACAATGGAAAACAGTATGGAGTTTTCTCAAGGAATTAATACTAGAACTTCCATATGATTCAGCACTTCTACTTCTAGGTATTTATCCAAAGGAATTAAAGAAAGGACATCAATAGTTATGTCAGAGACACTAAAAATATGCCAATGAACTGGACAATATGAGCTTTCACAATCATTACTCACTTCAAAGAAACCAAATTTATTTGATCATATTCCACTTACCTGAATATTTAAGGAAATGTAATTGGTATTAATGTAACAAATAATAAAACAAAAATTAAGGATACATTCGTATAGCACCTGTTCTTGTCCCAATAGCCAAGATTTTCTGAACTGGATCAAAGGCTAATGCTGTGGGCTGATAAGGGAAACCATGCCGAACTGTCTGAAAGAGAGCAGATAGTAAAAACAGTGATCAAGGAAATAAAAATTAATACAATTAAAACTAAAAGATACCATTGTCCAACTACCATAATGAGTAAAATAATTATTTTTAATTAAAAAAATTACTACTACCAAATGTTGGTAGGAATATAAAATGACACAAACACTTTGGAAAATTTCCTTGCCATTTTCTCTAACACTATCTGTCCTATGACTTATAAATTTCACTCTTAGGTATGCATCCCAGAAAATAACATATGGCCACATAATAATCTGTATAAGTATGTCCCTAATAGCTATATACTTAACAACCTAGAAACAGTCCAGCTCTCCAACAAGAGAATCAAAACCAAAAATGTGCTATACTCATACAATAAATTACCACTCACCAGTTGAAATATGATAAATGCTAATGATAGATGCAACATGGATGATTCTCAAAAATGTTATGCTAAATAAAAGAAGTAATATACAAAACAGTGCATACAGTATAATTATATTAGAATTTGAACAAGCAAAACTAACCTATGATGAAAAAGAAAATCACAGCAGTGGTTGACTTGAGGAGAACTCACTGAAAGGGAGTATGAGTAAAGGCAATATTCTTTATTTTAATAAAGGTGGATTACACAAGTGTACACACTGGTTAAAAACTCATCTAATTGTACAATAAAATTTATGATTTTTCTGTGTGTAAACTAAGTGTCAAAAAAAGATAAGAAAATAGTATTATAAACAAATATTGAACTCCAGTTAATGATACGCATATTGAGTTTTTTTTTCATATTGAGTTTTTAAGAGGTAAAGTCTACTGACATCTGCAACTTAATTCAAAATGCATCCATAGAAGTATTATGGTTCATAGATGGATAGACATACATTATAAAGTAAATATAGCAAAATGATAATTGTAAAATCTACATTCTGAGTATGTATGTGTATGTGTGTGTATACACATAGATACATGAATGCTCATAGTATAACTTTTCAACTCCTCTGTGTGTTTGAAAGCTTTCATAGTCATACAATGGGGAAAAAAAAAGAAAAATATAAAGAGTTAATAATATCATAAAGCTGACAAGACTAACAAGAATATGTAATAATATACAGGAATTAATTTCAACATGAAATATAACTTTTCAAAGAAATAGGGGACTCACATAGGTCAGAAAAAAAGTAGATTCTGGAAGGAGCTGGGGAACATAGCAGGGTAGAAAGACCCTGAGCTCACACCATCTATGTTTATAACTTGGTATCATTCACATCCAAGTAGATTAAACCCTCCAATCTGAAGAAGGGCAAAACAAACTCCACAACTAAAAACAGAGAAAAAGCTGCATCTGAAAGTTTAGGAAAGACAAAAAGGCAGAGGAAGCTGCCTGCAGGAGGAGGGAAACTAGCATATGCAGAGGGCAGAAAAATGGTCCCTAGGACCAGCATACAAGGGGGAAGACTAATCCTCATGTTTGACTTTGAAAATGAGAAGGGCTGAATTCCATGAGTTTGTATAACTTGGAGCCTGGAACTTTAAAAGTCAGCTGATGCAGCACTGGGCTAGCCACAAAGGCAAGTGATAGCCGGGTCACTGCCGTTAAAGAGACAACAGCCTACCTGGACAGGAAGCACAAAAATGGCAATTTACACAACACCAGGGGCTAATGGGAGACAGATTTATTCATACTGATTCAGAATGTGTTCAGCAACTTCTCTGAAAAAGAGGGAGCTGGCAGGCACCATTTTCCTCCCCTATTCCCCAGCATAAACAGAGGGTCATCTACAGCAGTCAGGTTACACAGGCATTTGCTACCTAAACTGCTAGCAGTATGCCATGAGTTCCTCTAAGGACTCACCTATTCCAAGCCAGCTAGCTTTGGCCCTGGGCTCAGTGCCAATTTTGTGAAAGCTGCCAATGTGCCCACTGCAGCCACTGCTGCACACTGCACCCAGCCAGTGCATAGTCCCCGGCCATGTGCCCCCAGCCACCAGGGGGAATACAGCCCTCAGTTTCCACAGAACTTCAGGGGATCTGGCATAGGACTAGCGGCCCTGCACAAATTTGCTAACAGTGTTGCCCCATTCACAAATTCTCTCAAAGCCACAACCCCTCAGAGTTGGCCTGCCTAGGTCCCACCAACACCACCGAGAGCAAGTACAGCGATAATAGGCAAAGCATCAGTCTGACAACTGCACTGAAAAGAAAAGCAACTCAGACACAAAATCAGGACATAAGCAACACACATAAGATACTCTCCTGAAGTGACAGATTCTGGTGAACAGGGAACAATACACACCAGGGCACTGTAGGACTTCTTCTTCATAAAGTCACTTTGGTTCAAAAACAGAGAACATTGCCAATTTTCTTAACACAGAGAAACAAACACAGGAAGGAAAAAAAAATGAGAAAGAGAAATTTATCCCAAATGGAAGAAGAGGACAAGGCCACACCCAGAGGTCTAAGCAAAACAGATCTAAATAAAATGCCTCAAAGAGAATTTAAAGCAATGAATCACAGATACTCCTGGACTTGAGGAAAGAGTAGAAGACATGAGTGAGACCCCTAACACAGAGAGATAAGGAATAGCACAGCAGAGATAAAAGGCTCAATAAACAAAATGAAAAACATGCTTAATGGAATGAATAGCAAAAGAACCAAAGGAATGAATTAGTGACCTAGACAACAGAGTAATGGAAAGTAATCAAGTTGAACAAAAGATAGAAAAAGGAATTGTGCAAAATGAGACTAGACTTATGGAATTCAAGAACTCCATCAAAAGTAATAACATTCATATTATATGAGTCTCAGAGCAAAGAGAGAGAAAAAACGGGGACAGAAAATTTATTTAAAGAAATAAAAGCTGAAAACTCCCCTAAACTGGGGAAGGAAACAGATATCCAGATCCAGAAGCACAGAGAACTCCCATAAAAATCAAAAAAGGAAGTCCACAAGAGTGCCTAAATGGCACAGTTAGTTAAATGTCTAGGTGTCTAGCTCTTGATTTTGGCTCAGATCATAATCTCAGGGTTGTGAGATTGAGCCCCATGTCAGGCTCCACATTGGGCATGGAGCCTGCTTAGGATTCTCTCTCTCCCTCTTTCCCTCCCCAACATTCATATTCTCTCTCTCTCTCAAAAAAAAAAAAAAAAAAAAAAAAGGAGGCTAAAAGCAGCAAGACAAAAGAAAATAGTAATGTACAAGGGAAAACCCACAGAGCTAGCAAGAGATTTTTCACCAAACACTTTGCAATCCAAAAGGGAGAAGCATGATATATTCAAAGTGCTGAATGGGAGAAATCTACACCTAAGAATACTCTATTGCAAGGGTATCATTCAGAATAGGAGAGAATAAGAGTTTTCCAGACAAACAAAAAAACTAAAGGAGTTCATGTCCACTAAACCAGCCCTGCAAGAAGTATTAAAGGGGACTGTGAGTGGAAAAGGAAGATCAAAACTGACAGTATGGGGATGCCTGGGTGGCTCAGAGGGTTAAGCCTCTGCCTTCAGCTCGGGTCATGATCTCAGGTCCTGGGATCGGGCCCTGCGTCGGGCTCTCTGCTCGGCAGAGAGCTTGCTTCCCTTTCTCTCTCTGCCTGCCTCTCTGCCTACTTGTGATCTCTCTCTGTGTCAAATAAATAAATAAAATCTTTAAAAAAAAAAAAAACTGACAGTATGATGGCAGGAAACACAAAAGCAATAAAAATGAACATTTCTGTAAAAAATCAGTCAATAAACTCACAAAATAAAAGGATACAAAATATAACATCATATATGTAAAACATGGGGATAAGAATAGTAAATAATAGGTTCAAACTTAAATGACCATCAACTTAATATAGACTGCTATACATAGAAAGGCTATACACAAACCTTATGGTAACCATGTATCAAAAACAACAAGTAAATGTGCAAAAATTAAAAGGAAGTAATCCAAATATATCACTAAAGAAAATCAGCAAAACATGAAAGACAGAAAGACAAGGATCAAAAAAATCTTTAGAAACAGCCATAAAACAAAAAGTAAAATGATAATAAATACATATCTATCAATAATAACTCAGAGTAAATGGACTAATAAATGTTCCATTTATGAAATGGATAAAAACAACAATGGATAAAAACAATAAGACACATCTATATGCCGCCTATAAGAGACTTGTTCCAGACCTAAAGACACCTGCAAATTGAAAGTAAGGGTATGGAGAAATATCTATCATACAAATGGATGTCAAAAGAAAACTGGAGTACCAGTACTTACATTAGGCAAAATAGACTTTAAAACAAAGACTGAAAAGAGACAAAAAGGACACTATCATTATAAAGAGGACAAACCAACAAGAAGATCTAACAATTGTAAATATTTATATACCCAAAATAAGACCACCCAAATACATAATGGAAATGTATTAACAAAAAGTTAATAACAAACACATAAAGGAACTCATTGATAATATAATAATAGTAGAGGAACTCAAAACCCCAGTTAGAGATCATCTAACCAGAAGATCAACAAGGAAACAATGGTTTTGAATGACACTCTGGATCAGATGGACTTAACAGATTTATTCAGAACATTACTCCCTAAAACAACAGAATACACAATCTTTCCAAGTGCACATGGGACATTCTCCAGAATAAATCACATATTAGCCCACACAACCAGCCTCAAAAAATTCAAGAAAACTGAAGTCATACCAGGCATCTTTTCTGCCCACAACACTATGAAACTAGAAAAATCTGGAAAGATCACAAATACATAGAGGTTAAATAACATGTAACTAGAAAATGAATGGGTCCACCAGGAAATAAAAGAAGAAATTTTAAAGTACATGGAAACAAATGAAAATACAACAATCCAAAAACTTTGGGATGCAGCAAAAGTGGCTATAGAGGGAAGTTTATAGCAATACCACCTACTTAAACAAGAAAAGTCTCAAACAACGTAAACTTATGCCTAAGGAGCTAGAAAAAGAATGATAAACAAAACCCAAAACCAGCAGAAGAAAG